ATTACATATATATAGCAAATTAATGATATTCTGCTAAATAACGCTTTTTGATTTGTTATATATTCTTCATCATTTTCACACATATCTTAAAAATCCAACTTCTATTTCAAGTATCATTTACTTAATATTTATTTGAATTTAATAGCTAAACAATATATACTTCTATAAATTAATAATTCAATTGTATCTTTGAAATATACTAGATCTAGCTATTACTATGATTGTTTCAATAAAATGTACAACCAATGCATCACACAAACACGTCTGTTGGCACGTTATAATTATTGAGATAAATCTATCATTACATCTATCATTCTGAAAAATAATATAAAAAAAAGTATAAATTTTAATAGCATGAGTACACATGAAAAAAATAGTTGATACATCTAACATTGAGACATACACACACCAAAATTTGTATAAATTACAAACTTGTGGTAGGAAACTTATTTATAAATTATAAACTGTGAACGACTACTAGAGCTGTCAAAGCAGGCTAGCAGGCCCGTCCAAGATTTAAGAATAAAATAAACCCACACACTACAAGTCAATTTCCTATTAAATATGTTTAGACACTATAAGTATATGAGTAGAATTATAAGTTTGGATTTATTTCATTCCATTATTGAATTATTGAAGACTGTAATTGTTTTTTTATTTTTTAGTATTTTTTCTTTTTGATTGGGTCACTTGACACATATTATTGAAACTTATAATTACATTTTACACTTTTCAATACTTTATCTGAGTCAAAGCTTTTTAATCTTATTATTTTTTTTGCTGGCCCTCCGCGCGCGACCCACAGCCATCTCCCTGACGGACCTGAAAAAATGAGCCCACTCCTTAGGCCTAGACCCGTTTTGACGGTGGAAACTGTTTGTCCCATTTTTGTTGCGTTTTTCCTTCTTATTTTTATTTCTCTTTCCCTCGTTTTAGCTCCTTTCATTAGTTTTTATTAGTTTTGTAGTTTATTATTCATCTTGTTCTCGTTTGGTTTTCTTGCGTCGTTTTTGGTGGTTTTCCGGTTTTTCTTGTTTTTGGTGTGCAGGATAGAAGGTTCGAGAAATTCTATTTTTTTTCACGATAATGGAATCGGAAGAGCGTAAGTAAGTAGAGCGTCTTGTTGGCAATACACAAGGGAAGACGGAATTCGAGTCCAAATGACCTCGAACGGATCCAAGAAGCAAAGGTGAGCACACTGCCCAGACTGCCGTGCCGCGTCCTTGCGAGAATACCTGCCGCGCCGCGCCCGAAGCTCCACGCCGTGAAGAAGAAGACCGCCGCGCCGCGATGCTGCCACGAGGTGGACTGCAGCTTCAGACGTTCCAAGCCGCGACACCCTACCTCGCCGCGCCGCGACACCCTACCTCGCCGCGCCGTGTCAATCCTGCCGCGCCGCGCCGCGATGTCACCGAGACCCCGATTGAAGACAACCACGAGACCTCTGCCGCGCCGCGAGGAAGCACCACGCCGTGCTGTAGCCGCGCTCCGCGCCGCGGTGGAGCCTCACGCCGCGGCGCTAAATCTCTTAAATTTTGAAAACTGTTCGCGTTTAAGTAGGTTAAGGCGAGGGTTTGAGAATTATTCTGCACTTTTCTTTTCTCTCTCGTTTTATCAGACCAAAAACTTGTTCTCTTTATCTTTGGCTTATTTTTGAGATTTTTGGGAGTGACACCCAAGGATTTTAATCGTAGATTCAGACTGTGCTTGAGATTGACACTCTTTATTTATCTATCGTAAGTTTTCTTCTCATTTGACTATGAGTTTGGAATATTTACTGTATACAATATTTTGTGTTCGCTTCAGCATGAGTGGCTAAATCTTTAAGCTAGGGATAGGGGGTGATTACTCATACTCGTGTGCTTATTGTGTTTATGAATTTCGTTCAATCTATTCGAGTTGATTTAAACCTAGGGTTAGATGCTTGATCACCATTCTGATCTAATTAATCGACTTGTAGAACCGAAAGGGGAGAAGTCGGTCGATCTAGGCTCGACTAGAGTAGGCTTGTTCGTAATTGTATTGCCTACGTGTTAATTGATTGGGTTGATTTGCCGTCTATATTTTTCTTCTTGTTACGAGATGTTATTGAGGAATAATTTCTAGATGTGTAAGTTAATTGAATCATTTAGCCGAACGTATTCTACTCGGCATTTGAATTTGATTTGAGTTTAATCATCCCCGATTCCCTAGCCTTCGTACGTATAAGGAACTCGTTTTAAGCTTTGATAATTGTTTATTTGCGCTGTTCGAGAATTAGAAGTTGATAATTAAAAACCAAAATCATTGAATTAGAGTGTTTAGGAATTTATTTGCTTTTTCGTGTGATAGAATATCCGTACATATAATCCGGCTGACCTTCCTTGAGATACGACCCGGTGTTCGAATCTTTTGATTCTACTCCGGTAAAAATAACTACAACAAAATGGCGCCGTTGCCGGGGAAGGTTTAGGACTTATTTTGTGCGCCTATTCATTTTGTTTTCAGTGTTTCTCTTATTTTTGTGATTTCTTGTTTTGTGTGTTTCTCTTTGTTTCGTTTTTCTTGATTAGTTCCTGTGTTTTTCTTGTTTTGTTTTTCTTTGTCTCTTTCTTATCTATCTGGTGCCCGTGACGTTTTTGTTTTTTTTGTTTATGCGTACCAGAAGTGGTCTTGTAATCATCCCGAATAACGAATCCATCCAGAGGGACCTCCAAGAACTGTTGGCTAATCTTGCCCCTGAATCTTCAGACTCAGCCAACCGGGACTCAGATAACCCAAGAGACATGGCTGACGAGGAAGTAAACAACCCACCTCGTCATCTTCTTCGTGAATTGGCTCAACCGATAATCGGGCCAGTAACTTCGTGTATTCGGCTGGGACAAGCAGCTCGAAACTATGAGCTTAAAACCATCCACTATAATCAGCTACCGTCCTTCCACGGTCTGCCGAACGAGGACCCGCTTCATTTCATCCGGGAGTTCTACAATGTCCTCCAAACTTTTCCACTCCACAACTTAAATGAGGACCAGCTGAAGATGAGGTGTTTCCCCGAGACACTCAAGGACCGAGCTAAGGCTTGGTTTATGACACTTGCTCCCGACTCCCTAATCACTTGGGAGCAAGTGTACACCAAGTTCATTGAGAAGTATTACTCTCATCAGAAAACTCAGGAATTTCGGTCCCAGATCGTTTCTTTTGCCCAACAGCCAAACGAGCCACTTCATGAAGCATGGGAGCGTTTCAAAGACCTCCAGAGGCAGTGCCCACACCACAACTTCCCTCCGGCCCTACTGGTGAACAGTTTCTATGACTCCCTCCATCAGAATCTTCAATACATGGTGGATAATGCAGCTGGTGGAGATATTGGGGCGAAGACGGCAGAAGAGATGATAGATATTTTTGAGGCGATGAGTTCTAATTCGTCTCAAAAGAGCAGTCGAGGGAAGAGGACTTTTGTGAATGAAGTATCTCCAGGACGAGATATGATGGCACAACAGCTAGCCGAGCTCAAAGAGCAGATGCGGCTACTGAATGCAAGGGGAGGCCAACCAATGCAGACCATGGCCGTAGAAGCGTGTGGAGCATGTGGAGTACAAGGGCACAGGTCGGAGGTGTGCCCATCAGCTTTCGATCAAGATTATGGGGAACAATACGAAGATGTCAATGCTCTTCAAGGCTACCAAAACCGGCCTGCCAACGACCCATACTCAAACACGTATAACCCGGGGTGGAGAAATCACCCAAATCTCTCGTGGTCTAACAACAACAACATCCAGCAGCCCCCTCGGCAGAACTTCATGCAGCAACAGCCCCGACCCAGCTTCATTCCCCAACAGTAGATGAGGCCAAACTACCCTCAACAGCAGCATCAGCAACAGCAGAGGAGCCCAATGGGAGGAATGCAGGCACAAGGGGCCGGACCCAGTGCAGCTAACCAAGACGATAAGCTGGACAAGATTCTCCAGTTTATGGCAAACAGTGAGCAAAGGGGCGTGAACACTGATGCTTCTATCAAACGCTTGGAAACACAGTTGGGCCAGCTGGCTACAAGAGTTGGGAACATGGAGGCAGACTCAGACAAAGAGAAGCTACCTAGCCAGCCCAAGGAAGCCAAGGCAATCACGGTTTTGAGAAGCGGGAAAGAGGTAGACAACCATGTAAAAATGCCCGAGCCTGATGACCTTGCACCAGCCAACCAGCCCAAAAGGGTAGAGGAGAGCCCGAAGAAGAACACAGAAGCTGAACCCAAGAAGCAAACAGATGGCTCAATGTTACACAAGTCACCAAACCCCTTCAAACCAAGCATACCCTTCCCAAGCCGACTCCGGGACGAGAAGCAGGAACAGCAATTTCGGGACCTATACAACATGCTCTCGAAGGTCAACGTCAACCTGCCACTCCTGGACGTGATCAAGAGTATGCCCTCGTACGTGAAGTTCTTCAAGGACTTAGTGACGAAGAAAAGGAAATTCGGAGACGGGGAGAAGGTAGTGGTTTACGAGGCTGCAAGTGCTATGCAGCATGACCTTCCAAAGAAAGAACGAGATCCCGGAGGCTTTGTGATTCAAATAGCCCTCGAAAACGGAAAAGAAGCCTCGGGGATGCTTGACCTCGGAGCGGGAATCAACCTTATGCCGTTCTCAATCTTTCAACGGTTGGGTCTCGGTGATTTGAGACCAACCCGAATGTGCCTCCAGCTGGCTGACCGTTCGATCAGATACCCCAAGGGGGTAGTTGAGGATGTCCTTGTTCGTGTCGGGAAGCTCATTATCCCGGTAGATTTTGTCGTCTTGGATGTGGGGGATGTGCACGAAAACGGGAAGGATCACACTATCCTTCTCGGCAGACCGTTTATGGCCACTACCAACACCCTCATTGATGTCAAGAACGGGACCTTGAATATGACTGTCTTAGGCGAATCCGTATCTATCTCAGTCCGGGAAGCCACATCTACTTCTTCAGTTAACTTTGTGGAGGAGTGTGCCTTCGTTGATGTAGCAGATTCGTTCGTGGGAGAGATGACCGTACGAGACCTGGAGGAAAGGTCATTACCCGATCTTGATGAGGGAGAAGAGCCAACCATCGAGCTCTTTGTAGCAGACGAGCCCGACAAGCCGAACCCACCCACACTAGAGCTTAAAGAACTTCCTCGCCACCTCAAATATGTGTTCCTTGACGATGAAAAGAAAAAGCCGGTTATCATCTTTGCTGAGCTTAACCGAGAAGAGGAGAAGAAGCTGATTGAGGTACTTAAGAGGAACCAGAAGGCCATTGGCTGGAGTCTAGGAGACATTAAGGGCATCAGCCCTTCCACGTGCATGCACCGTATCATTCTGGAGGAGGGTGCTAAGCCTGTTCGGGACAGCCAACGGAGGCTCAACCCGAACATGATGGAGGTTGTGAAGAAGGAGGTGCTGAAACTTTACTCCGAAGGACTCATCTACCCAGTGGCCGACAGCGAGTGGGTCAGTCCGATCCATGTGGTGCCTAAGAAAGGGGGCATCACCGTCATCGAGAACGAAAAAAAAAAAGATGATCCCCACCCGTATCACTACCGGGTGGAGAGTGTGCATTGATTACCGGCGACTCAACGCCGTAACAAAGAAGGACCACTTTCCGTTGCCGTTCATTGATCAGATTCTCGACCGTCTCTCAGGCCACCAATTCTATTGTTTCCTCGACGGTCTCTCGGGCTACTACCAAGTGGCCATAGCGCCGGAGGATCAGCCCAAAACAACTTTCACGTGCCCATTCGGCACCTTTGCCTTCAGACGTATGCCCTTTGGCCTGTGCAATGCTCCCGGGACCTTCCAACGGTGCATGTTCTCCATTTTCTCCGACATGCTCGAGGACTGCTTACAGGTATTTATGGATGACTTCTCTATTTTTGGTACTTCATTTTCTGATTGTCTCCATAATTTATCTCGTGTGCTTGAAAGGTGTGTTGAGTCTAATTTGACCTTGAGTTGGGAGAAGAGTCATTTTATGGTGACTAGTGGAGTTGTGTTAGGCCATGTGGTGTCTAATCGTGGTATTGAGGTTGATAAGGCTAAGATTGATGTTATTGAAAAACTCCCTCCTCCTGTGAATGTTAAGGGAGTTAGAAGTTTTTTGGGTCATGCTGGCTTTTATAGGAGATTTATTAAAGATTTTTCGAAAATTAGTCAGCCCTTGTGTCACTTGCTTGCTAATGATGTGCCATTTGTGTTTGATAATGCATGTGTAGATGCCTTTGATAAGTTAAAGAATAAGCTTGTGACTGCACCCATTGTAATAGCTCCTGATTGGTCGTTGCCTTTTGAGATTATGTGTGATGCTTCGAACCTTGCTGTTGGGGCCGTTTTGGGCCAACGAGTTGATAAATCGCTTCGTGTGATTTATTATGCTAGTTTGACTCTCAATGGTGCCCAATTGAATTATACTACCACTGAGAAAGAACTTTTAGCTGTTGTGTTTTCTCTTGAAAAATTTAGGTCTCATATCTTAGGGTCTAAAGTAATTGTGCATTCAGACCATGCAGCCCTTAGGTATCTTTTGAATAAAACGCAATCAAAACCTAGGCTTATTCGGTGGATTCTTTTGTTGCAAGAGTTCGATGTAGAAATTCGTGATAGGAAAGGGTGTGAAAACGTGGCCGCTGATCATCTATCTCGCATTGTCCCTACTGAGCATTCACCTACTTTGTATGAACATGTTGACATAAATGATAGCTTCCCATATGAGCATGTGAGTGAAGTAGTTAGTGTTCCTTGGTATGCAGACATTGTAAATTATTTATCAGATGGAGTCCTGTTGTCTAACCTCTCTTCCCAAGAGAGGAAGCGTTTTGTGTTGATGTGCAGGATTTACTTTTGGGACAACCCATTTCTCTTCAAGGTGGGCAAGGATGAGATCCTTAGGAGGTGTGTGCCCGAAGAAGAACAATCAGATGTCCTTGCTTTTTGTCACGAATTTCAGTGTGGGGGACATTTTTGAAGTCGTAAGATTGCCCTTAAGGTCCTCCAATCAGGTTTATTCTGGCCGACCCTTTTTAAAGATGCTTATGTTTTTTGCAAATCTTGTGATCGTTGTCAACGAATTGGGAATATTGGTCTAAGAAATGAAATGCCTCTAGTTAACAATCTTCAAGTTGAAATCTTTGATGTATGGGGCATTGATTTTATGGGCCCGTTCCCCAAATCTTTTGGTTTTGAGTATATACTTTTTGCTGTAGATTACGTGTCCAAGTGGGTTGAGGCTATCCCCACAAGGACGTGTGATGCTAATGTGGTTATCAAGTTTTTGCAAGGTCATGTGTTGAGCAGGTTTGGATTTCCGCGAGCTATTGTGAGTGACGGGGGCAAGCATTTTTGCAACCGGATATTCGAGAAGCTGATGAAGAAATACGGAATTTCACATAAAGTCGCCACCCCATACCATCCGCAGACTTCCGGGCAAGCAGAAACGAGCAACAAGCAGATCAAGACTATTCTTGAGAAGACGGTGAACTCGTCTAGGAAAGATTGGTCCAGTCGTCTTGATGATGCATTATGGGCCCAACGCACAGCTTACAAGGGAGTCTTGGGGATGAGCCCGTTTCGGCTAGTCTACGGGAAGGCGTGCCACCTTCCAGTCGAAATCGAGCACAAAGCTTTTTGGGCGATAAAGCGGATGAATTTTGATCTTGATGCAGCCGGACGTGAGCGGATGTGGCAACTGTCGGAACTTGAGGAGTTGAGGAACGAGGCTTACGAGAACTCTAAAATTTACAAAGACAAGGTCAAAAAGCTTCACGACTCGACCATTATCCGAAAGAACCTGGTGCCCGATATGAAAGTTCTCTTATTCAACTCCCGACTTCGTCTATTCCCGGGAAAGCTTAAGTCCCGGTGGAGCGGACCGTATATCATTGACGAAGTGTTATCTTTTGGAGCAGTCCGACTTCGAAATCCGGCGAATGGTGAATTGTTTGTGGTCAACGGGCATAGGGTAAAGCCTTTCTTTGAGAGCGAATTCGGGAAATACCATGTCGAGACCATCGGTCTCGGTGATGCCGTGTATCCTTGATCCAAAATTGGGCCGAGCTCTCGGCTTAAAACTGAGCAATTACTTGTACTTTTTATGTATATCTATATCTATATGTGTTTATCTTTATTTTTGTTAAAAAACAAAAAAAACAAAAAAAACGAGAGACTGAATTTGTTCCAGGTATCGCACCGCGAATGTGCCACGATCCGGACTGTGGCTTTTGCCTTCATTACGCTTCGCGCCGCGGCAGTCATCGCACCGCGGGACTCCACTCCTCGTCGCGCCGCGAGTTCACCACGNCGCGCCGCGGCAGAGCATCGCGCCGCGGCACTGGCCTGTTATAAAAAATCGGGACCAGTTCTCGTTCTCACTATATCGCAATCACTCGAGAAGTTGGACCCTAGCTCGGCGTTCTCCTACACCATCATCTCCGACCATCGGTCCGTCGACCACGGCCGACCACCGGCGCCCCGACTACCATCTCCGGCGAACCCTCCATTAACGGCTACCTCAACTCTCTCACTCCCTCTCATCCGTAATTTCCGTGCCCTAGCCCCAATCTCATCTCTGTCGCCGGCGTCATATCCGGCGAGCGCCCGTAAAATTCTCCGGCCAGCTAAAGTCGTCCTCTCCGACCAGCGAGCACTTCCGTTCATCCGCAACAGTTCACAGCCACACCACACGGCTCCTTCACTCTTTCGGGTTTCTTCGTTGCATATTCGCCTTTTGCGGTCCGGTAATCGATTCTCTTGTGATTTTGTGACGAATTCGAGTTGTTTGGGTTGGATTGTGAAATATTGGATTGAAGTTGGAGTTATTTCGGGTTTCTTTTCACTAAAGTGCTCAACACCTTCCAAAGTCCTTTTCTTGCACTCAAGGTGTTCGGTGAATTGTTCGTGAGAACTACAATCGCAATATGGTGAAAACGAGGAATGCAAGTCCTTCCACAAGAAAAGATAAAGGGAAGGCCATCGTCGTCGCTCCACCCGAGTCATCGAACCACCCAAATTCCGATACGGCGGAAGAGACCACTCCGTTAGCTCGAACCCATGGCATTCCGTTTCCGGTTTTTAACGACTCAGAAGTGGCCGCGTACAAGCGACTTGCCGCTCGAACTATGCCCAATCCACGAGTTCTCGAGTGGGCGGCACTGAAAGCCCTTAAAATCGACGAGCAAGTTCGGAGCTACTTGAAAGTCCTTCACTTGGAGAAGTATGCGAATTTAGATAATTTAACCGCTTTCTGTTCACTCGCCCTCGAATGTTTTAGCACAATTGAGATGCACGATAATGGCAACTACCTCACTTGTCGCCTAGATGGGAAGGAGGTCAAAATTACGGATAAAGTTCTCTGTGATATTTACGGTTTGAAGACAACGGGTGCTCGCAAGAAACCGGGAGATTTCCAGACTGACCGACATTGGGCCTCTTTCTCACCATGCAAATCTTTCAATAAAGCCGGACCATCGGCGGGGCTAATCAAGGAGCTCCCCATTGCGGTCATGCATAAATTCCTCTCCTACAACATCTTCGGAAAAAAAGAGGCGAACAAGGTGAGCGAACAAGACTGTTTGTTCTGTGGGCTATGCGCGAACAGAAACCGGTGTGCCTTCTCAATTTCTTCAAGCAAGCTCTTATCGACGTACGCCAGAAAACAGTGAGCTCCCCTACCTTGAGTCATGTGGCAACAGACCTCGCCATTTACTTCAAAATTCCAACTTTTCTTGAGGAGGGCATCGGTCCGATGGCCATCGGCTATATCGAGCTTAAGTCTGGGGGTTTTCTGGACAAGCATTTCCACTTCCAGCCCTATACCGAACGAAAATGCTACAAGGCTTACGTGAAGGAGATGGAGCGCGTAGCAGCCGAAGCAGCTTTGTCGAAACAAGCCTCAGGGGGGCCTTCCCGACAGGTGGCCGACGAGAATGCTGAACAGATCGCGCATGCTTCGGGAGACGAAGCAGAGCCCGCCCATATCGACTATGCCTCTTACGAGCAGGCGCCTGCGTGGTTCGTCGAGTATCAGAAACGACAAAATGAGTATCAGACTCGCCAGGAGGAGTACCTGCGAACCATCCATGCCGAGGTTAGTTCGCACAATGCTCGGGTGGAGGCCTACATTGCGAATAATGACAAACGTTGGAACCAGTGGAAAGAGACGCATGCAAAGCACGAGTCCCGTTGGGACGATTGGGAACAGAAGCAGTTTGTCCAGTGGAACCAGTGGAACGATCAGTTTCAGCGGTGGGACACCCGGTGGAGCTCGGGTTCTGACCAACCTCCTTTACCTCAACCGCCACCGTCGGACGCACAGTGATTTCTCACTGTGCTTTGTACGTCTTTCTTCTCTTTCTCTTTTGTTTGGTATAGCCCATTTCTTTTGAGTCGGTTGATTGTGTGGTTCAACTCTCCTTCACTAAGAATCGACAATGGGGACATTGTCTGATTTTAAGTGTGGGGGAGTTTTTGCATGTATATGTGGCTACATGGTTGATCAATCTAGTTCTAGGTTTATTTTTCTTTTGAGTCCTTACCTGTCTTTCACTTGGTGGGCTAGTCTAGTTTTGAGTTTATTTGCTCTTCGAGTTTGGACATTGGTGAAATTCAGGATTGGTTAATGATTGTTTGATGACGTTGGAAAGATGTGATGATGATCTCGAGTGACATATTTTGATGTGGCTTGGTTGTTTTGAGTAACACTCATACATATACACCCGGTGAGATTTGAGCCATTTTCATTTCTTGTGCGATATTGGTCTGAATGTTGAATAAATCAGAACTTGCCTTGAGTCTGCTGTGAAATAAGTTGATTAGATTTGTGATAGGTGAACATGATAAAGGCATTCTTTGTTATTTGGTGTATCATTTTTCTTCTTTCGAGAATAATTTTCGCTAGTCACCCCTTTGAGCCTTACTTCTCATTTTTATTGTTGACCCCGTGTTGATAATGTGCGAAAAGCGGATTTGTGATGATCGTCGAAGTTGTATGAAGCAGGCTAGCAGGCCCGTCCAAGATTTAAGAATAAAATAAACCCACACACTACAAGTCAATTTCCTATTAAATATGTTTAGACACTATAAGTATATGAGTAGAATTATAAGTTTGGATTTATTTCATTCCATTATTGAATTATTGAAGACTGTAATTGTTTTTTTATTTTTTAGTATTTTTTCTTTTTGATTGGGTCACTTGACACATATTATTGAAACTTATAATTACATTTTACACTTTTCAATACTTTATCTGAGTCAAAGCTTTTTAATCTTATTATTTTTTTTGCTGGCCCTCCGCGCGCGACCCACAGCCATCTCCCTGACGGACCTGAAAAAATGAGCCCACTCCTTAGGCCTAGACCCGTTTTGACGGTGGAAACTGTTTGTCCCATTTTTGTTGCGTTTTTCCTTCTTATTTTTATTTCTCTTTCCCTCGTTTTAGCTCCTTTCATTAGTTTTTATTAGTTTTGTAGTTTATTATTCATCTTGTTCTCGTTTGGTTTTCTTGCGTCGTTTTTGGTGGTTTTCCGGTTTTTCTTGTTTTTGGTGTGCAGGATAGAAGGTTCGAGAAATTCTATTTTTTTTCACGATAATGGAATCGGAAGAGCGTAAGTAAGTAGAGCGTCTTGTTGGCAATACACAAGGGAAGACGGAATTCGAGTCCAAATGACCTCGAACGGATCCAAGAAGCAAAGGTGAGCACACTGCCCAGACTGCCGCGCCGCGTCCTTGCGAGAATACCTGCCGCGCCGCGCCCGAAGCTCCACGCCGTGAAGAAGAAGACCGCCGCGCCGCGATGCTGCCACGAGGTGGACTGCAGCTTCAGACGTTCCAAGCCGCGACACCCTACCTCGCCGCGCCGCGACACCCTACCTCGCCGCGCCGTGTCAATCCTGCCGCGCCGCGCCATAGGAGTCCTCCGCGCCGCGATGTCACCGAGACCCCGACTGAAGACAACCACGAGACCTCTGCCGCGCCGCGAGGAAGCACCACGCCGTGCTGTAGCCGCGCTCCGCGCCGCGGTGGAGCCTCACGCCGCGGCGCTGAATCTTTTAAATTTTGAAAACTGTTCGCGTTTAAGTAGGTTAAGGCGAGGGTTTGAGAATTATTTTGCACTTTTCTTTTCTCTCTCGTTTTATCAGACCAAAAACTTGTTCTCTTTATCTTTGGCTTATTTTTGAGATTTTTGGGAGTGACACCCAAGGATTTTAATCGTAGATTCAGACTGTGCTTGAGATTGACACTCTTTATTTATCTATTGTAAGTTTTCTTCTCATTTGACTATGAGTTTGGAATATTTACTGTATACAATATTTTGTGTTCGCTTCAGCATGAGTGGCTAAATCTTTAAGCTAGGGATATGGGGTGATTACTCATACTCGTGTGCTTATTGTGTTTATGAATTTCGTTCAATCTATTCGAGTTGATTTAAACCTAGGGTTAGATGCTTGATCACCATTCTAATCTAATTAATCGACTTGTAGAACCGAAAGGGGAGAAGTCGGTCGATCTAGGCTCGACTAGAGTAGGCTTGTTCGTAATTGTATTGCCTACGTGTTAATTGATTGGGTTGATTTGCCGTCTATATTTTTCTTCTTGTTACGAGATGTTATTGAGGAATAATTTCTAGATGTGTAAGTTAATTGAATCATTTAGCCGAACGTATTCTACTCGGCATTTGAATTTGATTTGAGTTTAATCATCCCCGATTCCCTAGCCTTCGTACGTATAAGGAACTCGTTTTAAGCTTTGATAATTGTTTATTTGCGCTGTTCGAGAATTAGAAGTTGATAATTAAAAACCAAAATCATTGAATTAGAGTGTTTAGGAATTTATTTGCTTTTTCATGTGATAGAATATCCGTACATATAATCCGGCTGACCTTCCTTGAGATACGACCCGGTGTTCGAATCTTTTGATTCTACTCCGGTAAAAATTATTACAACAGAAACTACTAGAATGATCACCAATTATTTGTATTACAACGAATTATTGATGTTATAGTACTCCCATTATAAAAACTTCGTGTGGGGAACTATTCGAAAGTAACACTTGACTAAACCTTACTTCTTGATTGCTGACCGAAAAATTAATGTATTGGCTTGAACATGTGTATGGTTTTTGCATGGGCACACAAGGCGTAACCGTGTTGACACCACTAAGTGGTAATAATAATGTTTGTGGTTTGTAAAATGTATTTGGTTAGAAATAGGAAACGAGTAATACCCACTTTCTATAATAATGTTTCTGTAATAATGTCTCTAATGTATGGAAAACAGCTCCTCTCCACTTTCTATTTTGACTTATCCAAACCGTCCAAAAGCCCTTTTGCCTAAATACTTCTTGTGTTAGGCTAACTAAGTCATTGAATAGCCAGCCACAGTGACTGCACCGGGTTGTCGTTGGCATGCAGAAAGCACGACGATGATGGATCATCAGTAGGGCCTGATGTATCCATAGATCGATACATAAATCATAAGATCAAAGTCAAAATCATACAAATAAAATC